CACGGTGCTGGACTGGACCGGCTTCCCCAGGCTGGCGATTTAAAGGGCCCGGAACTCCCTGCAGCGGCCAGAGCCCCGGGCCCTTTAAATCACCTCCCAAGCCCCGCTGCCAGAGACCTGGGGTAGCGGCAGCAGGGCTCCAGTGGTGATTTAAAGGGCCCGGGGCTCCTGCTGCTGTGGGGAGCCCCGGGCCCTTTAAATCACTGCCGGAGCCCTGCTGCTGCTACCCCGGGGCTCCAGCAGCGGGGCTCGGGTGGCACTTTAAAGGGCCCCCAGCTCCGCTGCAGTAGCGGTGGCCGGAGCCCTGGGCCTTTTAAATCACCCCTGAGCCCTGGGGCTCCCAGCCACCTCTGCAGCTGGTAGCTCTGGGGGTGATTTAAAGGGCCTGGGGATTTAAAGGCCCCGCCTCTTCTGGTTGAAGCCACGCCCCCTGATCAGGACTCCGGCTTACCGGTAAGTCCTTTAAGTTACTTTCACCCCTGCTTAGGGCTTGCTCTAAAGGAACATTTTCCTGAGCAACAGACCTTTTCTGGGTTTCACTTAAATCCAGAATCACGTCTGACCCATCAGGAGGATTTTCACACAACCCCCTTTCAGGTAAACTGCTAGACTTCATAGTCAAAAGATTAGAGGTATTCTCTTCCTTCTTACAAGTTTCCACACTGTCAGTGGGTAACCTAGTCAAATCACCTTCATGCTTTTCTTGTGCCCTGGCTGTGATATCACCCAGATCAGACAAGGTTGTCATATCTTTACCCAGCAACACACTAGCAACAGGCAAAATAGAAGCATCAGAATCGCTTGGTCTCTGGGAGCTATTTATGACACCAACTGGATGTAACCTAGTTGCAATGTCATCATCCCTAGCAGGCACAAATTCGGGACCACTTCCTTCCTGGGCTTTAGTTGTATCCAAAATCAGCCCTGGCTTAACTGATAAATTTTCAACCATCGTAGGCAGACAGGCTTTTTCTGTCTGCTCTACAAACCCAAAAGAGCTGGAGAAACATTCCCCTTTAACAGACAAATAGCTTGGGATAGCCTTTCCTTTGTCCCAGAACACACGGCTGTTCACGGACAATTGCTTGGAGATTGGGGTAGCTCCCTTCATAGGCAAGTCATTACCCCTAACAGACACAGGAACGCTTCCTTGTCACAATTCTCCACACTGCTAACAGGTAGGGTATAGGGATATTCATGTTCCACTAACCTTGCCAACAATCCATAACTTACCAAGACTGTACCCTTTCCTTCCTCAGTTAGGGCTTTAACCTGATCACCAATTTTAATTTGCTCTAGAGCAGGGGTAGGCAACCTATGGCATGTGTGCCGAAGGCGGCACGCGAGCTGATTTTCATTGGCACTCGCACTGCCTGGGTCCTGGCCACTGGTCTGGGGGGCTCTGTATTTTAATTTTAAATTAAGCTTCTTAAACGTTTTAAAAAACCTTATTTACTTTACATACAACAATAGTTTAGTTCTATATTATAGACTTATAGAAAGAGACCGTCTAAAAACGTTAAAATGTATGACTGGCACGCGAAACCTTAAATCAGAGTGAATAAATGAAGACTCGGCATCCCACTTCTGAAAGGTTGCCGACCTCTGAAAGGTTGCCGACCTCTGCTCTAGAGAAACATCTTCCTGAGCCTTATCTAATGCCAGATTCACTTCTGACATACCAGACCGATACTCAGCAATTTCTTCCACGTATGCTCTGCTTCTTTGCACAGACAAACCGCCATCTTCCTCAGACAAACATCTGGAGAAACCCTCCCTAGGCAAATCCTTGCCCCTAGTAGAGACAGGTTCAGGATTATTTCTTTCCTGTGACTGGTTTAAGTTAACCTGACTGAACAAAGCTTTAATATCAATAAAAAGATCCTTAGGCGATAACTTCCTGACACCTGCTATAATGTTTAACACCATTCCATTCAAGATGGATTCTAGCTAAAGGTACACTTACAGTAAACTCAGAGAGGATTATAATACTCACACTCTTATCTGGTAAATAATCTTCCTCTTTGACAAAATCTGTTTTAACAAGAGTGATGTTGGAAGCTGTAATTTGCCCTAAACGGCTTTTACTGTTGACTTTTACATTCTCTGCACAAGTTATGGGGTTACCTTCACCGGAGCTCGCACTAAAAGCATTTACATAAAAGGTGGCAGTGTTGGGGTACATTTGGTTACACACAGACAACTGCTTAGAGTCAAACAACATAGCAACATTCTTACAAACTGGATAGATTCTATCCCCATCTCTGCTGTTGAGAGGAGCTGGCTTTCCAGAATGATACAGTTCCTGTTGTTCCTTTATTCTCTTGAGTTGGAGCTTAAGTCTGTCCACTTTTGCCTTAGCTTCTAGTTCCTGAAATCAAATATATGCTATTTTTTGTTCACAGGCGTTCTCTTTCAGCAGCTTCTCCTTCCATATCAGCAATTTTTTGCTTTTGTTCAAGTTCTAGCTGCTGGTTTCTCCACGTAAGCATTTTCCCTGGGTCTGCTTCCTTATCACTGGCAATTAACAGATTTTTCAGTTCCTGCTCTGGGGTCTTTTTCTTAAAAGACAACCCCCTCTGTGAGCACAATTCTTCCTGGCTTTTTCTGTCAGAGTCTTGATCATGGGTCACTCACTGTCACGGATTTTTAACCCTTAAACTCTCCAATATCAAAATAAAATTTTGACAAGCATGTGGTTCTGATCCCAAAACCCTTAACCTGTGGTAATGTGTATCCAAGCATGACAATGCCACTGAGACCGGGATCTTAGTGGGGAGCCAGCTGTGGTCATTCAATTAGAGTGAACTGCAAAGAATGGGGCAGCCAAACCCCATAAAGCGGGTGGATATTCCAATACTTAAATTTACCAAGCCAGCATAAAACAGATTCTTTATTACCTTACTGGTTACCCAGAAGTCCAAACAACACAGTTCCCTTAAAGTGATCCAGCCTCACGCCCCCATCCAGGTACCCACATCAAATATGATGAAAATTTCTATAAATCTTATTTCATCATATAAAAGAAAAGGTTAGACCCATCCCAAAGGATCGGGCACATCACCTCCCAAGTTAATGAATGTTTCAGATCTTACTCAAATACACACTACAGCCAATTCCTATTAACTAAACTAAAATTTATTAAAAAACAAGAGAGAGAGAATATGATTAAAAGATCAATATACAGACCGACATGAGCTCAATTCATTGAGGTGCAGATTCATAGCAGAGATGGTGAGCTTCGTAGTTGCAAAGAGTTCCTTTAGAATTCAGTGCATAGGTTATAGTCCAATGTCCAAATCTCACATTCAGGGCGTACCAGCATAACTGGGACCTTGGTCTTGCGACTCAAACTTCCCCTATGATGTCTAAGCAGATCTGAGATGACAGAATCAGGACCTGTCACGGACTCACAGGTCATGCCACTCTTGGCCTGTACAGTCCCTGGGGGGAACCCCCTTCAGTGTGATAGCCCTTCTAGGGAGGTCCACTCTCTCGGGGGCCCCTCCGCCTCCTGGAACTGCACCTCTCTGTGCCTTAGCATGCCTGTCTCTCACCGTGGGCCCCCTCAGGGAGTCCACTCGCTCTGAACCCACAGGGCATCCACTCCCAGAGGGAATAATGCAACCCTGATATCTAGACCAGAGTGAATCTCAGCCAGCATAAAACAGGAAGGTTTATTGAGCGTCTGAACACAGCATAGGAAACTCTCAGGGCCCTCAGGCTTGGCCTCCCTCGGTACTATACATTTAAGTCTCTCCTGCATCCAGGTGGGCTCTGCCTGCTCCCCCTCTCCAGCCCAGAGACCCTGCACTTTCCAGCTGGGCGTCTGATATCACCTCCCCCAAACCCCGCCTCTGTCCATTGTCTTCTATCCAAGTAAACAGGATCGCCTAGGCCTCCTCTCCTCTCAGCCGTCCTTTGTCCCCCTCCGGCTGGAACCGGCTGGTCAGGTCACTGTGGTCCTCTCTTCTCAGCCCATTGTCCTCCCACTGGCCAGAACCAGCTGTGAGTCCTGAACTGGGCCTCCCGGTCTCTAGGTCACCAGTCACTGGGGTATCCATTCTGCCGGCCATTGGCCGGGGTCCTAAGTTCCGTCGCTGGTCCTCTGTAACAACAAACTCCCTTTCCCATCATCTTGTTAAACCAGTAACGCCCAAGGAAACAGAGTCCCACCCCCTCTGCATGCAAACCATTGAAAAAAAACAAGAGAACCACCCACTTCGTCCCAGGACCCAAAGATTTTTTATACAATTTCATGTCTTTTGACAAGTTGAAATTCCTCAGGGAACAAAAGGTAATGAGGATGACTTTGAAGGACGTCCATCACTGGTACTTAGCTATACGAATTAACATAAGACCATTTGAGGGATAGCTCAGTGGTTTGAGCATTGGCCTGCTAAACCCAGGGTTGCGAGTTCAATCCTTGAGGGGGCCATTTAGGGAACTGGGGTAAAAAAATCTGTCTGGGGATTGGTCCTGCTTTGAGCAGGGGGTTGGACTAGATGATCTCTTGAGGTCCCTTCCAACCCTGATATTCTATGATTCTATGATTTGCTTGTTCCACCACCATTCATGGTACATTTCAAAGAGAGATGAATATTGAGATGTCCCGTGTTTATAATTCATTTACATGACAGGATGTTCTTTTGACCTTTGAATGATCAGAATACAGCATAGACAGGGACGGTTGATTACATTGTCCACCCTACTCATGCATATGTAAATACACAAAAATTATCTCCCTACCTGTCTTCTGTGGGTTACTTATTTTGCACAATGTTTAACCCTTTCTAGCCAACTGTCCCACCCACCCAAATCCAACCAGCCGAACATACAGAACCTTCCTCCCTCAGGCAGACGGCTGCTCAGCGTTCAGCAATGGAAATTAAACGCTCCCTGATCTGATTTGAAGCGGATGCTGAGCATGGTGGCAGCTGACGGTCTGTTTACTTCCTCCCCCAGAAAACTTTAAAACCACAAGTTCATACTGAAAACCGAAATTGCACCGTGAGCTACAGCCATGGCAGATGGTAAGACGGGAGGAGCCGGGCAGTTTGCAAAGCAGGTCCAAAAGCGATTTAGCCGAGCCCAAGAGAAGGTACGCTTCATTCATTTGTTACTGCTTTGTGCCTTTGCAAGGACAGCTCAGACCGTAGCGTCCCCTTTCAGTTGTCCAGCTTCTTAGGGGGCTGAGAAATCATGCTATGCAACTGAGTGAGTGGGAGGCGTGTTCTGAGCACGAGGCTGTGTGTGTCTAATTCCCAGTGCTTTTGCAATCATTATGGTATTTATAATTCAACGGTATTAGAAATGTGCTGAGACAGCTGCGTTGATGATAGCAAGGGTGATGTCCTGCGCCCCGTGAGCTTGACTCTGTTGACTGGAGCTCTTCTTAACAAAAATAATAATAATAATAGAGCGAGTATTAACCTTGTATCTCTACCTGGCTTAACTTCCATGGAGTGCTACCTACAGTTACTACAGGGGGGCTTGATTCGATCTACCGCCAAAGGTCTCTGAGGCGTTGAGTTGCATTGTTACCCTCCAAACCTTCCCAAAACACATCACCTTGTCACCCAAAATGCGTCTGCTATGGATGATGATGCCGAGTAGCGGTGGCCTGCAAGTACTGAGTGGTTGAGGGCAGTTCCTTTGGAAGGAGAGCAAGCCCCGAACAGGGCGGAGGGCTGGCAAGTGGAGTTAACTCCAGAAGTGCTAGCACGAGCCAACCGCCTAAACTCTCTTTTTATGAACTGTATCAGGAAGAGATGGGGGCTGGGCTCAGGAAGTGGGTAGAAATAGAGCTGGCCTGTGCTGGTTCCTCTAGCCTTGGTATTTCTTCCTTTTTAAGTGCAGCATCTCTGAAAGCGTAGGATTTTTGCCTGTTTCACTCTGGCATAGGACGTAGCCACGCTGTCCAAGTCAGGACAGACCAGCACCATATCTCCCTTTGACCAAAGCACAGAAACCCTGAGCTGAATCTTTCACCTCCGTGTCACTGGCGTTGACTCTCCCCCTTAGGGTGAGTGACATTTGATGGCTGGTGGCGGCCTGTATGGAAATCAGTTAGGGGTGATCGCCAGCTGCTTTCCAGTGGACAACTGTCTTCTAAGAAGTTTCTATGGCGCTCAGCGTTCTGGGGTTTTGACCTGTTAAAGGCCTCTCTAGGTCCTACAGCAGTAGAAATGATGACTTAACCCTGATTAGCTCCCTTGAGCCTCATCCTATCAATCCTCTCATGTGAGCAGCCCTAACTGGCCTCCATCTTTCTGTAGTATCGGAGTCTCATTGAATGGGGCCGACTGGTCAGCTGGTAGTCTCAGTCGGGAGCAAAGATTGCATGGACCTTGGGTGAATTATCCTTCCATTCCAATGGCATGTCTACACTGCAATCAGAGGTGTTAATAGGCAGCAGGTTTAAAAATTAATAGGCAGCAGGCTTAAAACAAACAAAGGGAAGTATTTCTTCACACAACACACAGTCAACCTGTGGAACTCCTTGCCAAAGGATGTGGGGAAGGCCAAGACTATAACAGGGTTCAAAAAAGAACTAGATAAGTTCATGGAGGATAGGTCCATCAATGGCTATTAGCCAGAAGCTGGGAATGGGCTCCGAGGGATGGATCACTTGATGATTCCCTGTTCTGTTCATTCCCTCTGGGGCACCTGGCATTGGCCACTGTTGGAAGACAGGCTACTGGGCTAGATGGACCCTTGGTTTGATCCAGTATGGCCATTCTTATGTTCACCACAGCACATGTAGACATACCCGAGCTAGCTTTGCTCTAGCTAATTCCGGTACCAAGAGCAATGAAGCCAGGGGGTTGGACTAGATACCTCCTGAGGTTCCTTCCAACCCTGATATTCTAGGAGTCTAAGGCACCACAGGTTGTATGAGCCCACCCAGGATCCTGGGTACATAACTTGGGCAACTAGCCCTAACCCAAGCTACTGTGGCTTCACTGCTATTGGTACCCAAGTTAGCTGACATGTGCTGCAGTGACATCTCTGATTGCAGTGTCGATATATCCAAAGTAAGAATAGAGGCAGGGTGGGGAAGCTTGTCCATGCTGTACTTGTTCTCTGAGATAACCAGAAGGCTCCGGTCTCCAGGGCTGTCAATCTGACACGAAACTGCAAGCAGTTTCTAGTGCTAAATTTGCATGCAGGCATCTGGAGCACCATCTGCAAAGTTATTCTGGGAAAGCGCAGTTTCAGATTTTACTGTCCTGTAAATCGCCTTGCCAGCTGGAATGATCTTCATAGAATACCAGGGTTGGAAGGGACCTCAGGAGGTCATCTAGTCCAACCCCCTGCAGGACCAATCCCCAGACAGATTTTTTGCCCCAAATGGCCCCCTCAAGGATTGAACACTCAACCCTGGGTTTAGCAGGCCAATGTCCAAACCACTGAGCTATCCCTCCGGAACAGGTTAAATCAGTCTAGGAAGGACCCTTGAAGCTGTACAGCCTCCTGACTAGGAAAACTTGTCCCCACCCTTCATGGCTGTTTGCAAGTTTGGTTCGTTGTCAGCCTGAGCTGCTGTTCGTCAGCTACACCCACGTAGCGTTGGCTCTACCCCTCCAGAATTCAGATGTGTGAAAATGCAGAAAGGCGTTTGCTCTTGTTTGACCACAAACGCAGGCAAGAAACTTTCGAGCGCGCTAGAAAGTGGTGGTGTGCTTAACTATGAGAACGTGGATTTTCATTTGGCATCTAGGAGAAGAGAGAGGAAGTGGTTTGGAAAAGTCTTTGGAGACTAAATTATTGTGTTTTGTCTCTTCTTAGGTTCCCTTGAAGTAGATTCCCTGCTCTACCGCTCTGACACAGAATTCCGGGGTGACTTTTGACAAGCCCCTTATTCTCTCTGTCTTTAATTCCCCATCAGCAAAATGGGGATGCTAGCACTATTCCTAGGGGTGCTGAGGATAAATACATTAAAAATTTTGAGGAGCTCAGATCATGGGGGCCACATATGCATCGTAGATTGTTGAATTATTTCTGTGCTCATTGGATGGAGCCCTCTTCTCTTGTAGATATTTCATGTAGTTCAATAACCTGGGTAGAATTTCTACACATTGCCCAAAACATCCGGGGCCAGCTACCCTCTGAATAATATGTGCAGATCCTGCTGAAAGGAACTGTCTAGATGTGGTCCCTTCACAGCTTTCCTGGGAAACCCTCTCTTCCTGGTGAGACGCTAGGTACCTACCTGGGGAACAAATATTTGATAATGGGCTCTTCCAGTCTAGCAGAGAAAGGTACAACATGATCCAATGGGCAGAAGGTGACGCTAAATGAAGTCAGGCCGGAAATAAGACATACATTTTTAACCGTGAAGATAATTAATCATTAGAAAGATTAACCAAGGGTTATGGTGGATTATCCATCACTGGCAATTTTTCAATCAAGACTGGATATTTTTGTAAAAGAGATGCTTCCAAAGGAATTATTTTGGAGCAGTTCTCACATAAGTTGTACTTTATCCAGGAGGTCAGACTAGATGATCACAATGGTCCCTTCTGGGCTTGCAATTTAGGAAACACACACACCTCTGATTCTCAAAGAAACCAACTTCTGCAGGCTAGCTTCCTCCCATGTTCTGTATTTCAAGCTCCTCACCATTTGGGTTTAATTTCCCAGAACTTCACTCTTCATCCAATTGAAGCTATTTGATTCGGGGGGGATCTTTTTCAAGAGGAGGAGGATTTTGTGAGTAATGATGGGAAACTCCAGAGGAGAGAAGAGAGAAGCTCGGAGGTGCAGATGTTCTCTCAGAGGTTGGACATGTCACTGACCGGCACATGTTGGGGGGGGGAGAAGTTAGCTGACCTGGACTCCAGATGGGCTGCTTCCGCTTTATCGAGTACAGTGTGACTAGTTATTTCAGTTCTTCATAATGTTACCAACCATGTAGTCTCGTGAACCATCAGACAATACTGGGCTCAAAATTATTTAAAGAGAAAACTGAGCCCACAGAAGTGGCAGCCGGTGCTGGATATTCTGCTCTGGCTTGGCCTCAAGTCACGAAAACATCTGTTTTAACTAAGCCAGGGGTCATAGAATCATAGAATATCAGAGTTGGAAGGGACCTCAAGAGGTCATC